CATATTACTGGCTATATCTCCTGAGAATACTAATGAAAACAAAGTAAAGCCATCAGCTTTTTGACACAAATTTGTTTGGTGGAGGAGGTGAATGATGAGACTGATGTTTCTAATAGTAAAATGGACTACTAATACATTGGTTTCAACTTACAGAACATAAACAAGCCAAATCAAGGGAGGACTTTGAGCATACAATATGTGGATCATTTGCATATCTTTTATGATAGAACATGAGTCATTTTTACTTAGCATCGCCACCATTTTAACTATTTGTCTATGTTTTTACCATGTATGAATCCCTATAGCCGAATGGGCGGTAGCTTGACGGTGCATGCTACCCATTGGTCGCTAGATAATATCCAAAGACAAAATCAAATAATCCACATCTCACAAACTATATTCATAAAATCTTCTTACCTATTGAACCATTTCAGCCCATTAGCACATCAAATCAGACAGTCGTCCTAACATTTCAGCTCCATATTCAGCAGTAATAGTTGTGCCTATAAGCATAAGATCAAGTCAGCCATTAAATTCGACAATAAAGAAAAATGGATAAGAGAAGGCAACATGGACTGTTGCAAAGATGTTCTAATTTGATTGAAATAACTGCCTTTTATAGATGTTCTAATTTTTTGTGAGCAATAGATGTGTTTTAAGACACTTGAGGCTAGCAATAGATAAACAAAACCACTTCTGTCATAAAATGCAAGGAATATTCTAAAAACAATATACTTAGCTACCTCATAATTGAGAACTTAGTTGGTAAGAAGAAAAAAAAAGGCAATTATACTCATGTAAACTCATTTGTCAACATGAAAAAATTATGCCAAAACAACAAACTCTACCAACAAAAAGTGACACTAGATATTCTGTTTCTGTTTTAAATAAATGGATGTCGAGACAAGAAAATTATCATTTATGTGTTACAACTGTAACAATCACGTGCAGGAGGGGTCATTAACAAATGAAAAAATCACTATTATTTCAGAAAGCATGTATTGAATGGGAAGTTGATTTGATGGAGTTAAGATTAATAATAAGCTCAAAACAGATAATAACAGATAAAAAGATATGGCTAGCTTTGAGATTTTAAACGTGCCAACTAAGTTACATAGCTTACATTTGATTTGGAATTTTCGAGGATGGAAGACAACTGTATCAAAATATAATAGATACTAAAATAATATGGCTACAAGTTGGTCCATCTAAGCAGAGGGATAATTACTAACTTTTATTACTAGAAACTGCTTACTAACTTCAAGTTGTAAGTGAACATTCAAGAATGACAATAACTATTTGTGAGCGATCATGTCCAGAGCATAACTAGATTTGGTTATTCCTACAATATAAAGAGCAAGGATGGGCAATCGTGGATAGAAACTTGTGAAAGGATAAAAGTAACTAGCAGAACGGATCCCCTTAAGTGTTTTGGATTGCATTGACTTGAGTTGAACCATATAGAGATTGTACTACATATATAAAAATATTGCATCGGT